CAAGTAGAGATCACAAGAGGTGGGATGACCATGTAAGAAAGATGAAGTTGAAGAGAGATTTTGTGAAGGAAGAGTGATGATGGGATTGGAAGTAGACTCATAAACAAGTTTTGCTTTCAAACATAACATCACTATTATTTATAAAAAAAAAAACAAGTTCTGCTTTTGATATCAATTGACTATGAGCTAGGAAATGGAAATAACATCGTGGTTGATTTTTTTTTCTTTAATATTTTGATTTGTTGAAGAAGAGGAAAGTTTAGTGTAGAAAGGAACAGAGAGATAAATATGTAAAGGGTAAGATATTAGATGAACGAACTGCTTCAAAGATAAGGAGGCAAGAGTTATAGAGGAAGCTAGCAGTAAGGAACCTTGACAGGTAGAATGAATCCCTAGATGGGAAGTTAAAAGAAATATTTCTTTATTTTATTATGAACTTTTTTAATTGACTCAATTGTAGGGTAATGGGTCCTATTTTTAAAAAAATTTCATATTGAAAATGATGAAACAACCCTTTAAATAAATTAAAAAAATATCAACCTATCCCTAAATAGTAAATGACATTTACAACTCTCATAGTTAATTTAAAAAGATAATAAGGACTTAGGTAGACTTGCATGCAACAACTCTCTTGGGCTATAAATAACTCCAAAAAGTTGCAATGTTGTTGGACAAGGAACAAAGGGTCATCGATTGTACTAAGCTAGTGCAAGGTTTAAAATTGCGTAAATAAGCCTCGAGGCATTTTTTGTCAATGAGGCGAGGCGTAAGCCTCGAGGCGGTGTGAGGCGTAAGTCTCACGGACGAAGAATTGTGTAAATGAGAATTTAAGGATTTTAGCAAGTAAATAACAGTAAGAGTCTATCATACAATAAAAACATTTAAATGACAAGTGAAATTAGTGGAAAACAATAAAATAGATGAAATATATGCATCACATAATAAAATTCAAAGTACAGAACCACAAATATAAGTCTATCAAAACTCCCAAAGTACAAATAAGAAAGAACATATAAAATCCAATCATGTCCCATCACTAAATGGGTCTTCAAGGGAATTTTCTTCTTCAATTGTATCTATGAATGTCATATCTTCATTATCTTCAATATTACTCAATTTTCTCTTCCTTGTTCAATAAGAATGATTATTGTCATGTTAATTGCCCACTTTATATATATATATATATAGTAATCGGGAATTGAGGCGTTTTTTGTTCGTGAGGCGAGGCGTAAGCCTCAAGGCGTTTTGAGGCGTAAGCCTCAAAATCAAAAAATTGCGTAAATATAAAATGATAAATTTTGTTTATACTAATGAATAAATAATATATAAAACATAAAAATGCACAAGATATGAAGTGAAATCAAAATATCTCAATAATAAGACAACATGAAATATAGTTCAACTCAAACTCCATCTTTCCCAAATCACAGTATTTTTTTCATTAACATATAATTTAAAAAATAAATAGCAATGACATATCACATAAGAACTCATAAGTCATCAACATTGTCATCACCATGTTTAAAAATGCGCAATTAGGTATTGAGGCGTTTTTTATTTGTAAGGCGAGGTGTAAGCCTTGAGGCATTTTGAGGTGTGAGCCTCATAATAAAAAATTGTGTTAAGTGCAAATAAATGTTAAAAGTAAATTTTTATATAATACTCAAATAATATGTTAAAAAATGGCGACGGGTTAGAGGTTAAGGAAGTGGCTGAGACTAGGGGGTACACGAAGTGTGATTTGTTTGCGGCTTTACTTCAGGATTTATGTAAGTTTTAATATATATCGGGTGAGGCGTAAGCCTCACGCCAGTGAGGCGAGGCGCGCCTTAATGCGGGCATCAACCAAGTTGAGGCGTAAGCCTCATAAAAAAAACTTAAGGCGTAAGCCTCAAGGCGTTTTTCACTTGAATTGCGCAAAGGCGGGCCTCAAGGCGAGCCTCATATTGCGCAATTTTAAACCATGGTTCGGTTCGGCTTGGACTGGTAGAAGGAAGAAGGAAATAGCAATTTTATTTTAAACTTAAGTGAGTGAGACCCTTTGATGAGGCGCACGCCTCAACCAAAATTGTGCAATACATCAATTGAGGCACGCCTCACTATACCTGAGGCGAAGCCTCAGGAAACGCCAAAATTGCTTTGGCAATAAGGCGGCATGGGTCCAAATTGCGCAGAAGCGCGCCTCTTATTGCGCAATTTTAAACTATGAGCTAGTGACATCCATTTCGAAGAGTGGCGAATGATAAATCTATCTCAAAGAAGAGCAGATGAATGGGACTTCTATCTTGAGGAGCAAGAGACAAAGTGGAAGAACACTTATGCCTTTATAATATTAGTAGAGGGTTCTTTCAAAATCTTGAAGAGCTTTACCAAAACTTTACAAAGACATCTAGAAGGTTAAAGCCACTGACACTTTGCTACTGATCTAACTGAATCTAGGTACTAATTGATTGAAGTTGACATTTTTTTAATTTGGATTTACGAGTTGTTTTTAGGGATGTGGGTAGGATAATTGGCTTTTCATTGGACTACTCGATGTGGATTGGCAAAGCAAGTACAAACAAGCAAGCAAGAAAGAGAAGTTGGGAGGGTGATGCGACTGAGTGTGGGTTCTCGACGCATTTGCAGTAGTAGGTGATCGTGTGAATGATAGTTGGTGCGAGCGATATTGGGCATCAAGAATGTGCTAGTTAGAGGCGGTAAGGATGGAATTGAAGGGGCAAGCCTAATAGGAGTATGAAAGGTAGCTATTACCATGCCTTGAAGGTGAGGAGAGTGTTGTCATTATTCGAGCTATGCAAGTGAGATTCTCAGCAAAATAATAAGCGAAAATTGACTCAGAGCAATGATGGTGCATTTGTATTCGATGTGGGAGTAGCTGTGATCAAGATGTGGTTCTACGAGTGGAGAAAATTGTGAGAAGTTAGATGACTGGTTGAGGAAGATGGAAGTTTAAGAGGGGTTTTGGAAAGAGGTTATGGAAGCAGATTGGTACATGAGTTTGGCTTTGATGCCAATTGATGGCAATTAAGCTATGGAATGAAAATTGTGATGGTTTTTTTTTCTTCGATATTTTATTCCTTAGAAAAAGGGATGAATCTAGTATCGAAGTAGTATTGAGAGATAAAGAGAGTGAATGTGTAAGATGATTTAACAAATGAACCTCAAAGGAAGGGAGACATGCGGTAGAGAGGAAGATAACTGTCACGACCCGACCCGTCTAGCCCGAAATAACGGGGCGAGAACAGTCATTCGTATGAAAAACATATAAAACATATAATTCATAATAATTTCATTATCTTTTAATAAAAGGACAAACTTAAATATTATCCAAACAACTTAATGAAAGAGCCACTAACCCATCAACATAAAATTTTTCAATAATTTCTTCAAAACACAACCACTAAAAATATAGACATAAACATAAACATAAACTCCAATAAACTCCTCATTACAATCCATTGACTCAAGCACATAACAGAAAATATAAAACCTTTCTTCCTGAGGCCCTCTACGACAGTAGGTGTACTGTCGTCTCGTTGCCATCACTTCTTAACACCATCACCTAAAAAATATTTTCAAAAGTAGGATAAGCCAATGCTCAACGATGATAAACATTTATTTTAAATTCATGAAATATTTTTCTTCTTAAACATGTCATTAAGCATAAAAATAAAACAATAAAAAAATAATAATAAACATTTATAGACATAAATTATAAGACATTTTCATAATCATTTTCTTAAAACATTTCCCTTAATCAATTTTCCTTTCTTTTTCATAAACTTTTCTTTCTTTAAATCCTTTCATTAAATGCATAATTTCATAATCATAATATATAATAAGCACTCATCCCGGAAGTATCAGAGTTTTGTAATGATCAGATACACAATCATTTGTCATTCTTTTACTATTTGACTCCGAAGAATCCCATTACCATTTGCCTCCGTAGAACCCCCTTTACCATTTGCCTTCGTTTGATTTGGTAAGGAACCAAACTTCTCAATGATATAATACACAAGAATTGGTAAGGAATGATGATGGATGCGTTTGAGTTGGTGCAAGTTATTGAAGAGATGTGGATCGACTATGATTTGGATGTTGTTTTGTGAACAAAGAAGATCATGAGAAGTGGGAAAGATAGATGAAGTGGACACAAGTGGAAGAGGGGTTTTGGGAAGTCATGGGTTCAGGGGAGCGTAAGTGGTCATGTTAACAAGTTTTGGATCTTATAAATTAACGGAGAAGAAGATGAATTCGATGTAAATGGAGAACAAAATAAAGTGAATACAGGTGTAATATGATTAGATGAATGAATTGCCTCAAAGGTAGAAAATCTGAGGTAGAGAGGAAGAAAATATGAAGGAACCCCAAAAGGAAGAATTTTAAAAGAACCCCAAAAGGGAGTATGTTAAAAGAACCCCAAAAGGGAGAATGTTAAAAGAAACATCTGTTTCATGGTACGAGACTTGGTGCCCTATTTATAGAAATAGGCTTTATTGAAAGAGGAAAAACTATCACTAAAAAAAAAACTGTCAAACTTCTCCTAAATAACAAATGCCATTCAAATCAATAATATTTATCTTAAAAAGACAAGGGCGGAAAAACTAAGGACTGGGATAGATTTAGAATGCATCAAGTTTGATAGGCATGTCATTTTCATTTTTACCTCAAGATTTGTTTTTTTTTTCTGATTTTGAAAAACAACTTGAGGATTGATGCTGCAGAGTTTAGTTTTTATGCACTGTGCTGCTAGGTATGCTACATAATTTTGGAATTGGAGAGTCTAAGCTTCTTCAAAACCTATAACTGTGAGCAAGGAACTTTTGTTTGTTATTTAACTTTATTGATAAAATCTGTTGTTTCTTTGATTTTATTTGGGTAGATTATCATCTTTATATTAATGCTCTTAACTTTGTCCTCCGATTTTGTTATGAAGCTGAAATGCTCAGAGTTGTTCTTGTTTTCAATGTGACAGTGTTTTCTTTTACTTTGTTCAGCATGTTTTGGAGAGGGGAAAACCTCTAGAGAGGAGCCAAATCATCAACAAACTTTCTGGTCAAGTTGTGCAAATGAGCCAGCATAAGTTTGCTTCCAATGTTATTGAGAAGTGTCTTGAGCATGGTAACTCTGCTGAAAGAGAAATCTTGATTATGGAAATAGTTGGTCAAACTGAAGGGAATGACAATTTGCTGGTATGCTGGATGAACTAATGCTTTGATTTCTTTTTCTTTTGAATTTCTGAAAATTTCATGTTGTTCGATTATGGAACCATTGTTTAAAGATGTCTTGATATGCATCTCTTAAGCTGTTGCATAGTCTTCAGTAGAGCTGTCAACATTTAACCCGACCCGAAAACCCGACCCGAACCCGACCCGAAAATTTCGTGTTCGGGTTAGAGATTTCAACCCGTTTGTAAAACCGGGTCGGGTTCGGGTTGACCCGGAAACCCGAAATCAACCCGATTTGACCCGTTTTTAATTAATTTAAGAGAGTTTTAAGGGATTTTTATGAAATAAGTAAATGATATTTCAAAAAATTATAAACAATGTTGTACAAATTAAATTAATTTTGATTTATTTTAAACTAATTGAAGTAAATCTTACCTTAATTTGATTTAAATTTAAATAAATTGAATTAAATAAAAAAAATTTAATGAAATACACCGGAAGCGGGTCGGGTTCGGGTTGACCCCGACCCGAAGCGGGTCAGGTTCGGGTTCGGAAAACCGACCCGTTTGCAAAAATGGGTCGGGTTCGGGTCGGGTTGAACAGTGTCAGATCAATTTCGGGTTGGACCCGAACCCGACCCATGACCCGATTTTGACAGCCCTAGTCTTTAGAAATAATATGCTTCATTATAACTTGTCTTCAAAGATAATCGAACTCTTTTTGGCTCTATAATGCTTCTCAGATGATACTTAGTACTGTTGCTCAGTACTTCTCTTTCTTATTTAATACATGCATTTGCTTGGTGGCTGTATATTTTTTGGACATCAATAGCTTGTTATTGAGTATTTAAAAAAAAACATGAATTATATTTCTTATTATTCTCTGTTTTATTTGCACCTGCATCATCTGATTCTGAAACAGGGGAAAATTGATTCTTATCTTTTGAAACACTTCTAAATTTTGTTTAGCTTTTTGTCTTGTTTTCTTTAGAAGACTGCATAAATTGGTTGCAGTTTATGATGGTGCTTGTTGATGTGTATATTTCATATGAAGTTTAATTAGCTTGATTTATTTTGTGTGATACATTTGACCTCTATTTTAACGTGTTTCTCCGTCAACCCCAGCTCTGATCAGGTTTTGGTCTGAGAAATTTCAATAACTGACTAAATTATACCAGTAATTGGATGGAGCTGCATTTTTTTTTACCAAATGCTGTTTTATGTCTAATGCAAACCATTGTAAGGGTAGTATCGCCTAAGTTAGGTGGATGTGCCCAGACTTCAACTTACCTTGCAAGTGAAATAGCAATTGGTTTTATATGTGCGTTGACTTATCTTGGCCCGAAATAAAAAAAAGCGATCAGCAGTTTCTGGGAAAGTTGTATGACTTCCATACATTTAATTGTTATCCTTTGATTTTAGTAGTCAAAAATAAAATCAGGACTTATTTGATATCAGCGGAAAGTCATGCAACTATGGTAACACTTGTAATCTTAGCCTCTAGATGTTACCCTATATGGAGTTATGAAAGATCTGATGTCAGGTAAGTTGGATATCAGTGCATCAGTTTGCTCCACATTGTGTTTATATAACATTTTCCACCCTAATTTTTGGAAAAATAAAAATAAATTAGCTAATGAGTAGTTTAGGTTAAAATTTTATCATACAAGCAAAAACATGTACCTTTCCACTAACAATAATATACTAGTTCTTCATATGATTAAATTATAACAGTTGTATGTGTGTATAGAAACAATACGGTTGTGTATATATTTACATATCAACTTATGGCCAGCTGTAATATAACTCAAATTACCTTAAAATGGCAACTTTTTCAAACCCACGCTTGTTAACTTTCTAGCCAGTTGGCATTTAACTTTTTTCTTAAGAGATCAATAGAATGCAATCCATAAAATAAGTCTATTCCTGATAACATACCACGTTTTCTATGCTATAGCATGTCTACATCAATAAAATAAAGGCATTAGCTTTTCTTGTATGCTAGTGATGAATTCCTAGGTAGCCCATTTCATGCCATCTTTGGTGTTGGCGAACTGCAGCACATGCTGCTTTTTTGAATAGCAAGCAGTATATGCTGTCAGGTTTAGCTGTTTTTCCTAAACTATCATCTATGCAAACCGGTCAGCATGCTGTTAGACTGGTTCATGGTGAACCGGTGCAGCCCCAGCCGGCCAAACAAGGGCCACGGGTCTATAGGAAGCGGAGGCTTCCGCCTACTCTTCTTAGTCCAATTAATGGGGCGGGCCCCATTATGTAATTTGAATGAATTGTTCAAACGGAGTGGGCGGCTAGGTTTTGGGAGGGAAATTAAATTAGGAAATATCTTGTATTAAAGGGGATGAGTGAATTAGAGGAGGATTATGTTTTGATTAATTGAAATTAGGGTTTCTTGGAGGCTTGGGCTCTAGACAATCTTGTCTAGACATTTGGGAGAGACGAACCTCCTCTCGAATTGAGGATCTATTGTATCTTTGCTTTGTTCTTGCTTCCCTTTGATTATTATAAGATTTTCTATCGTTTGTTTATTCTTTGTTGACAAAAAAAAAAAGAAACAGAGAATTTTTGGAAGCAACGGACATACCTGCCTTCGAGCGGGTCCCACCTCGCACGGTTTGCTTCCAAAACGCAGTGACCCTTCGTTCAAAATGAAATAACTGCAAACTCAGTTCTTTAAAAAGGATCGATAGAAACGATCGGAAAAAAAAGGACTTACGCTTGCTCACTTCGTTGTTCCGACTCCAACATTGTTGTTCGACTTCGTTGCTTCGTAAGAGTCTAGGGTTCGCCCTTCATCTTCTCTTTTCGTCGTTGATGTTCGGCTCTAGTGATTCGCGTAAGGTGCAGGGATTGCATCGTCGGTTCTTCGGCTCCCTCGTCACCATCCGACTTCATTCCTTCTTAGGGACGGAGAGACCGCAAGTGTCGCTCCCCCCTCCGCCATCGTTCGTCTCCCACCCCTCCGTCACTGTCCGACTTCGTTGCTTCGCAGAGGGTAGAGATCGCACAAAGTCACTTCTTCCTCTCCTTAGTGGCTGTCCGACTTTGCTCCTTCTCCGACCGACCTAGCCGCAACTCCTATAAGGGCTGAAGCCGACATTTCTACACACCAATCCCGACGCCTCAGCATCTGACTCTGATGCCTCAATCCACCCCCGTGCGTGACTTCCGCCTCCTCTATGCCCGATCGGGCTTTGCTCCTTCCCAATCTCCCTCTCTATATATTAATATATATAATATATATATCTTATAATATATATTATATGTATTATAATATATAATAATAATAATAAAAATCTATTGTTATTATTATATATATAATAATATAACATTATATGTAAAAAAAGAGGACTTTCAAATATATTTTGAAATAATTGATTGATATATATATATATATATATATATATAAAGTCATTTGAAATCAGCACGTTTCAAAATATGGGATCCATTTTAAAGAAAAATGTTAAATAAGAAAATTTAAAATTCTGAGAGTTTTAAAATTCGAGAGTTATTTAAAAGATTGAGAGCAATGAAATGTAAAATTTATTTATTGGTTAATTTTTAATTAATCAAATAGAAAATAATAAAAAATGCAATAAAAAAAGAGAAAGAGTTTCACTAATCAACTTGTACAGACTCTCAAACTCTCAACACAATCCTCACCAATTCTCCAACTTACAAGCTCTCACTAATTGTACCTCTCCAAACTACTCAGAAATCTTCAAAGTCCTTTGTATGTTCTCCAAGGTCCCTCTTGTATGAGTTCTTGCAACTATCTTTGGGCTCTATCTTCTGCAACTACAAGCCTCAGCTACTGCAACCACTGACTACGAACACCTACGATCAAGCAGATAAGAGTCGGCACAATTATAAATAGAATTCAATATTGAAAAATAATAAATCTAACTACTAGTAAGATAAAAGTACTGGGAAGCAAGAAAAGCTGAAGTACTGAAAAACTACTAGACTCATAGTGTAGTAAGAAACAAGTTATGAGCACACAACAAAACAAATTGAAACACTAAAACAAATATCAAAGCCCTGAAGTGCAAAAATCACAAACTCAACCAACTCAAACAAGGTCAAAACAAATCTCCAAACAATCAAATTTAAAATTCTTGGGCAGACTTGTTTATAAGAACTTGGTTGTAAGACCCACTACCCGGCAATTTTCGTAGGAAAGAAGTAAGCCCGATCTTAGTGGAAAGTTTTAGGTAAAATTGACCTAACTCCTAAACTTCAATTAAAACCCCCGGTCACTTCTAATAGAAGCCGTAAGTCCGACATTTGAGGGAAACATTTAGGTGATAACACAAACCTAGACCACTCACACAGGCACCTTAATCTAAAAGGACTTGGTTGTAAGACTCACAACTCGGGCCACTTAGCTTACAGGGCTAGGTCGTAAGACACACTGTTAGGCAACTTCTAAGGAAGCCATAAGACATATCCAACCAAAATTCTTCGGGCTACCTCTAAAAGAGGCTATAAGTCCCACTATCAGGGCAACTCCTAATTGGAGCCATAAATCCCAAACTAAATAAATTAACGGGCAACTCCTAATTGGAGTCGTAAGCCCCCCAAACTAAACAAATTATCAGGCAACTTCTTGCTGAAGTCATAAGCCCCACATTTAAGGAAATTTGCTAAATAAATAGTAATGATCCTAAACCCTAAACAATCAAATTTAAACCTATGGGCATCTTAGTCTAAACGATTAAGTTGTAAGACCCGCTTTTCAGGCTACTTCCTAAAGGAAGCCATAAGTCCTACCCAAACAATTAAAATTCTTGGGCATCCTAGTCTATAGGAGTTGGTTGTAAGACCCATCATTAGGCAACTTCTAAGGAAGCACTAAGACCTAATCCAAATCCAATTCAAGTCAAATTTAAATTTTTGGGCATCTTATTCTATAAGATTAGGTTGTAAGACCCGTTTTGGGCAACTTCTAATTGAAGTCGTAAGCCCCAACGTTTTAGGAAAATTACTAAATAAATTCTAATGAAC